CCATTTTTTGGAGTAATGTATATGTAAGGGAAGCATCATCGATAATAACCCTGTAGGGGATCAGGAAATGGGTCAGTTGACATCGGGAGAAGCTCCAATCGATAGATTTCGTCAAAATACATTGAGATACAAACTGGTCTGGGGGGGTTTAGCCACTCCCTAGCCCGCAAATCGGGTTTATATTTTTCCCCGGGGGGAAAAACATTTTTCCCCTAGGGAAAATTCCCCCCCCCCCCTCGCGCATGTATGACCTGGATTCTAAAGTGAATTCAATTTTTGTAGTCACACAATGAAAAAAGAATGAATGTCCTTAGGGACAAATTTTTGTGCGTCCGTTTAAAAATTGTCCGTTTCCGTCCGTCCTAAAAATATGTCCGTCCGTCCGTCCTAAATCCCAAACGGACGGACAATTTCATTTTGTCCGTCCTGGAATTCTAAACGGACGGACAAAATGAAATTGTCCGTCCTTGAATTCGAAACGGACGGACAAAATGAAATTGTCCGTCCTTGAATTCTAAACGGACGGACAAAATGAAATGTCCGTCCTTGAACCCCAAAACGGACGGACGGACACGAATGTCCGTCCGCTGTCCGTCCTTTTGACACCTTTAAGTGTCATTGGCTACTAGTTTGATTATTCCATATTTTAGTGTGTATACATTTTAAATTGAGTGAATCAATTAAGCATTTGACCATGAATTCTATAAAATGGGTGGTTCTTTACATGTCCTTTGTTCTTCACATAACAATGTCGAATTCTTTTTCATGCAAACAAAACGAGTTTTTTTTAATTATGTACCAACTACTAAGATATGAAATGTAAATACTGCACGTTAGTCTGATCTCGCACATTGGTCAAAGAAACGGAAAATAAGAGAGGGAGTTCGTGCAAGCAGCCATAGGATCGACCCGATCTTTGTATAACTTGATTCTTATCTATGACTTTCAAAAAAAAAATTTCTTCATGATACATGTAAATTATAAGAACTTTTATCCGCTAATACTTCAAAAATACTCCCCATGAAAAGTGTTATTTCGGCACATCACTTCGCTGAAGACATGATTTGGTGCAGGCTCATTTGCAAAATCGTAAAACCGAACATTTTGATGAACAAGAAATGGTCCGCGACTCGATTTAGTTATCTTCATCTCTAAACGTGTGCTGACGCATTGTTTAGTCATGCTATATGTCACGCTACATTTCCCTATACATTGTCTCCATCTTCACTATTGTTGGAATCGAATACCATTGGAAGTGAGAAGACAATAGAATAATGGCTTAATGCTTACAGATGCTATTCAACGTTAATGAGATCTAAAGAGTACGTGCCGTTTTAAGCGAGTAACAAGTGGTCCAAAAGAGCATTGCATGGATAGAATATTGAACGAGAGTGATTTTTATGACCGAACGCGCCCAATTGAATCAAATTGCAAATCATAAACAAGCGGTCGTCAATTCGAGTGACGTAGCATCATAACAATGATAAAAAATTTCATAGGAATCACAATTAAATAATAATTGAAAAAGGGATACGATTTTGCATGTTCATTTTACCGTAACACAGAGATATAAACACTGTTCATGAAACGCATTTAAAAATATAATCAAAGACTCTCAACTAATTTATATTTCCGTTCGCTTGACCAACCAACCATTTACCAACTGCATCAGCTACCAAGTTCGTTTCCAAGGAAAATTGGAAATATTGCCTCCCATTCTGTACATCAAAAATGATATTAGCTAGAAAACTCTCTCGCTTGAAGAAGTAAATATTTCATCCAGTTTTGCGTTGACATTGGTGGACATGACATAATACATGTCAGGCAGATATAAAAGCAGTGATCCAACATCGATCGAGTTTAGTTCGCGATGAAGACGCAAGCAATGTAAAACCGGACAAACCGTTATTTGCAAAGTTTCATTATTAAAGCATTTATATCAGCGATAAAGAAGAATTTTTTTCCGTTTTAATCAAGTTTTGAAACACCAGGTACGTGGTGCACGGTGCACGGTGCACGGTGCATTGAAAATAATTGCAATAGTTAAATTGAAAATAATTGCGATATATGTACTCGCTTATTAAAAACATTATGTTGTCTCTATTGATTATTGTGAAATCTGCTCATTTTTGTATTTGATTGTAGAAATTTAACCAATTTTTCATAGGAAAATCTAAACTATTTCTAACTATTATAAGCATTTCATGACTCTTATTGAACCAAACGTGCGAAAATATTATCAAAATTGTAATGACAAGTGGAAAAATGTTTTTGTGATTTTTTTCCCCTTAAATAAATTTGGTTAAAATGTATGTTTTTGAAATTATCAAAACATGATGGAACACAACAGCGGAGATTTGCTCCTAACTTTGTTTTTTCACAAATGCAGTACAATGTGTAATGCAACATTACGAAGAACGCGGTCTCTGTATGGAAGCGGAACTTCGTACTTGGGGTACAAAATCATGCACCTTTGGGTCTTCTTAAATTAAATGTAACAATTTGGATTTTGGAAAAATTCCGGGGATCAAAATGATTCGTGGCGTAGGCCTATTGAATTTTGCAAACGCCCTGATTGCTAACTCAAATTCAAGTAACACTACAGAAATATGGGTTGTTTAATGATATATGTAATGTTTCAACGGTGGTATGATTTAAAGTTGTGTTTACGAATTTCGACTTTTTATATATATTTCATTTATTTTACATCTCTCAGCACATCGTATTTTGCAGCTTGTCTATGGGGCACTGGAGCTTCCATTTGGCTGTTTTTGGGTAGAGAGTTTTGGATGTTTGAAAAGCATGAGCTAAGCGAGATATTTCTGTGCTTGCTTTGTATTAAGAGAGTTTAGTTTCGGTTCATGAAAAACTTGCTTAATTCATGTGGTTGGAATGAACAATTATTGGGTATTTCTATTACAAATCGGAATAGGCGTTCACATTAGCATATGATTAGAGCTGCCGTTTCTGTTCCTCTACCGCATAGGTCGCGATCCAGATCATCTCTCAGATAGCGCTTGTAATTGTGGTAATCAGTCAGGATAATTATTGCTTTAAGGTCGCTTTGGGTAGCGTAAGCAAGTATCTAATATATTTTTGGCGTGTGATAAATAGTTTCATTTGCATTTAAGTGTTGGTTGTTTGCCATATTTGTTGAATACAGAGATGACTTTAGCGCATCCGAGTATGTGTGTTGTTTTTTTTGTTTTTATCATCAACTTTATAAACCTTATATACCTTTTTGGCCAAAAAAACTTTGTATCAATATTTTGTGTAACATAACAAGGAACAGTTTTTGAAAAACCACATTTATATCAGTAAAATATAAAGAAAAAATCTCCAAAAGTAGAAATTGCGTAATATTGCGAAATTCAGCCAACGCGCGTAATTACTAAGTGCATCTGACCACACAATGCGAATACCGTGGGCAGAAAATGTAAGCTCATCTTCGTTATGCTACACAAAATATTATCAACTTAAATATTAGAACGAAAAAACAACAAAAATACTTGGGCGCGCTAAAGTCATCTCTGGTTGAATATCCTTTTGCCATTCCACATTGGGACTTATTAAATGATAGTATTAATTCCGGTTGTGCTATAATACTAGCAGCTTGTCGCGCCAGACAATCGGCCATTTCATTCCCCGGAATATTGGAGTGTGCTGTTATCTAAAATTATTTCAATTGATTCATAGAAACAATGTAATTGAAGATTTTCCAGCATTCGGCGACAATAATACTTTTTGTTAATGGTTCGTTTAGTGATGTTAACGCACTTAGGCAGTCTATACTAATGGTTGCCTTGGGTCTTTGCATTCTTGAGAATTTTACAGCATCTATATATCAACTAGTTGAAAAAGATAGAATCCATTTGCAAGCCAATATATGTCGAAAACGGTTAAAAAGTCACAAAAATCAACTATCAAAAGAACCCACAACGCATCGAACCCACAACGCATCTATAAATTAAATAATAATTATTATAATGATTATCAACTTTCATATTATCGTAAACCATCCAAATTGTAACATAGTTCTAATTGTAACATAGTCTTAAAATAAACCACTTTTCTGAAAAAATACAAATAAGTGATATATAATCAAATCGGAAGTTTTTTTTTCGTGAACTTCTCAAATATGATATAAAAAACAACAGTTACCCTTCAAAGTTTTGCAGAAAATTAGTCTATTTGTTCAATTGTTACAATTTGGACTATGTTACAATTTGGATGGTTTACGATATGTCTAAAAAATAGGAAGTTTGTTTTAAATCTTCAAATGTGCTCTGAAAAGTAGTATTAAGGTATGACTTGGGGAAAGAAAAAAAGAATCACAACAAATATGAGCCGAAGAAACTAAATTATAAGATAAATCACATTTTTCAATACATTTCTTGTTATATAAGCTTTTTTAATGACTTTTTTATCAATTTCCAGAAAAAAATATTGAAACTGAATACTTCTACATTGGAAAAATGATTTTGGCACATATATTCCTGCCAGCAATGTTGCTAGTGATATGCAGATCGCAACAAGCTCCAGCTCATTTGGCGAATACATATGGAAATGAAGAAAATGTGTATGGCAACGTATCACCTGGGAGTGATACTATTTCTACACCCACTACCACCATCACAAGTAGTGATGAACTCTTGGACCGTTATAGACAATTGACAGCCAAATCTTTACTGAGGCTGTACGATTCTTGTAAAGTTCATGATTTTCTTCAAAATCTCAAACATAATATAGAAAATGACAACGGTAGGGATAATTTTAAAATATTTATAATATGAGAATAAAAGGGAAACTTTGTCGAAGTAAGTGGAAACAACGAATTTTGAACCGGTCGCGCGCAAAAGATAAACATATTGTTTCTGTAATCACTGCTTGAAAAGTTGAAACGCAACAGTATGAAAGGCATTTTATTTTCGTGCAACGGGTTTAGTCCCACTTTTGCACATACAGGTGGGCCGCGATCATTTCAACCATGTTGATGCTTTGGAAGTCTTTACACTGAGAAAAACTTTTCTGAAGAGATCACAGATGGCGTTTGTAAATAGTTAGTTTCCAATCTTTTTTATATGAAGGTTGCGAATCCTCCAACTTTTTCGGTAATATCGTATTGCAGAAAAAGTTTGACAATTCACAACCTCCATATAAAATAGTTTGGAAACTAACCATTTACAAACGTCATCTGTAATCTTTTCAGAAAAGTTTTTCTCAGTGTATAGTTTTAACTAATTTGTATGGAAGTTTCCTATTACCGGGGGTAATGCACTTCAATAAGGTTTACCTTTCATTCCCGAAGGTTCATATATACATACTTATAATATAATGAACAATAATTTTTTTCTGAACTAAATATAACCAGATGAAGAAGAAACGGTAAAATCAAAGGATCATCAACAGCATCAACAGCGTTACATAAACGCCCTATGGCAAATTCTCGAAAAACAACAAGCTTTCGATAATGACATCACATTAATTTTTCCAAATGAGCGTACCAGTGGGAGTTCCAAATCGGCTCTTTATTATTATGTAACCATTTCAATGTTGTTGCAAGACAAGGAACTCGATGAAACACTAAGCTATATGTTGTATGATAAATGCTGTAAAAATGACGTAAACTTCTTTACCTCATCGATTTGTACGCGAAATTTTGATAATTCAATCGCTGAAAAACGAAATACTATCAAAAAGGTTAAATTCCATTCTTGGGGTGGTAAACGAAGTGGAGGAAATAGCCAAACCAATGTTCGAATGCCGACAAATGTGGATTTGAGTAAAGATTTGGGCCAATCAAAAATTGTGATTCGAACACCATTTCGACCTTGGGGGGGTCGTCGCAAATGAAAAAAATATTCCGATTTAATTATCCACACCGAACCGTAAACCAGTTCAAAGATTTATCAACTCACAATATATTTGCAATCAAAAATGTGTTGGCAACCAACTATTAGCTGCTGCAAATACGAAACGTCCAAAAATTGATATATTGAAGCATTAAAGCCATATAGTTTTATCACAACTTGAATGGATTTATGTATTTTTGAAATAAAATATTAAATGTTAACTTTTGGGGAAATATGTGTAATGAATTTCTTGGCCGTCTTTTAACATTATTCTACAATACATTATATCTGTTTCTAGCACAAATTTTTTTAATGCATTGATTTTTTAAAATTTAAAATAAACGCACACAGAACTCACCATATTTTTTTATACATCAGTGAAAATCTTGCAAATCACAAATGTTTGTTTGGTTTTACTGAATTGTTATAATAAATAAGCTAATGTATGATGTATTTGACATTTTATGCGTCAAATGTGAACTGTCATCCAGTGAAAACAACTGTCAAATAATTTACACCAGCCAGTTTGAAAGAAACAATAATTTCGAAATTTACTAATTATTTATTAACATTAAGACAATGTAAATATTTTAATATTTGTCGAGATTTTAGCAAGGTCGTGATTGAGATCCAAATCCAAGACCCATTCCGCGCATTGTGTGAGTAGCTTGTCTTGCAATTTCATATTGTTGTTCCATTGAGGAAAACATTTGCTCCCGTTTTTCCACACCATCATGATCTGTTGTCGCCGTCACAGGTGCATTTTTCATTCCCATTAACCGCAAAAATTTCGATGCCACTTTTCCATCTGAATCCTGAGAAAACTTTGCTGCTTCCCATTTATTGTTGGTAGTTGCTGTTTCAGTTGTTGTCTTTTTTGCACCCCAAATTAATTTTTTCTTCTGCATTTGTTCGGTGTATCGTGCATTAGTTAGGACCGAACTTGTAAAATTTGATAGATTCAATGTGAGATTGGTGTCATTTTCAGCTGCTGTTTCATCAACAGGTGTACTAGTTGTTGAATTTATTTGGGATGTTCCGCTCGATATTAGCGGCTTAAGCTGCATCGAAGAAGGTTGACTCTGAGACTTAAAATGTAGTTGCTGTTGCTGCTGGTGCATTATGCCGGGAATTTCTATTGGTTTCATTATGCCGGGAATTTCTATGCCCAATTTCTGAAGCTGTTGTACCTTTTCATTGGCACGCCTTTCTATCGTTCTATTAAGTGCCTCTGCTCTTCTCTTGGCACTTGAACTATTTGACAATGTCGAGTTAGATCGAGCATCATTTAAACTGCGGCTGTTGTTTCGGTGCGTTGGTTCTTCACGCCTTTGATTGTAATCTCTTTTGTCATCGAATCGACGTTCGCCTTCTCTTTCATACTTGTTGGACCTCCTGTGGTCATCATGCCGTTCTTTGCGCCGTTCACTACTTCTGCCAGATTGTTCGCCTCTGTCACGGGAATCGCTTCGGTCACGCCGTTTTTCTCGATATTTCTTCTTGTCATCTCGATCTTTCATCTTCTGTGGAAGAACGGAAATGAAATATTTCTTGAAAAAAATTTCAAAATTCTTCAATCATACCTTTCTCTCGTGTCTATCACTGTCTTTGGATGAGCTTCGACGACGTCTATCAGATCCTCTTTCATGCGATTTATGTTTGTCCCTTCTAGAAGATTTATGTGATGATTTGCGCGGTGATGGTGAATATCGGCTTGCAGATCTATTGACATCCTATTAATTGAAAAGTTATATCGTTGTCAAATCGTGTTGATTGATCCGAACATTCAGTTTTCCGTGTTTGTGTGAAAAAAACTAGACAATTTTAATTTGGAAATCTCAATCAAAATAAATTAACAAAATTAAAATATCAGCTTTGAATACTATAAATAACTAATATGTTGAGAATTTGTGTTGTTATATAAACATTCTAAAGATTAGCCTTTCTTTTGCCCTTTTGAACCATCGGTTTACAATATCGGCGGTCAATTTTACCTGAAATTATTTGATTTCTTTTTTCTCACTAATTAAATTTTTGCAAAGAGAAAGAAAAAGAAATTGATTATTTACTTATGAAATGTTTTTGTTTTTTTCAGAGTTTGACTTATACGCCAGATATATGCTATGGCATAAAAACAATATGCGCATATTTTTTGGTACATTTGGATTTTGTGACTAACTTACCATGTAAATTCATGTGCATTCCACGATTTTTTGTGGATCCCACGATTTTTTGTCCCAAATTCGTGGAATGCACATGAATTTACATGGTAAGTTAGTCACAAAATCCAAATGTACCAAAAAATATGCGCATATTGTTTTTATGCCATAGCATATATCTGGCGTATAAGTCAAACTCTGGTTTTTTTTTTGTTCAAAAGGAAGAAGCAAAACAAAAATAAGTTTTGCCCTGAAATCAGCATACTCACTTGTAATGTCTTGTGCATGTACATCAACACACATAGTTCAAATAATTTTCTCAGCGCCGAAAAAATGGATAGATTATTTGGAAGACTGAAACCAGCTGGTGAACGGCTGCAGCCAGCGGCTTTGACGAGTGGACAAAATGCAAGTCCCATCGATTCGAATTTTTACTGGTGGCTCTCTGTCCAAGCCCGCTTCTCTCACATTGCCTTTGCTTGCATACTTGCATTTAGTTTCAGTTTATTTTCAGGTTTTGTTTTATTTTTCTTTTCTTTTCATTTTTTGCTTATGTGTTTTGGAAATGGATTTTTCTTTTCTTTCTTTTTTGGCAGAATTGAATAAATACATAACAACACGTGATTGGTTAATAATTGGAATTCAAATCTTTTTCTTTTAACTAATAGATAAAAAAATAATATGATTTTTTTTTCTTCAAAGAAATAAATATTGATGTTCAAGGTCAATTAGGCCTATTGAATTTTATGAAAACAAAATCTATGACTGAAGCTAAATTTCCTTTACATTTACACAACTAACAGAATATGTGAATTAAATCTACTATTCTTACTCTTTCAAAATTGTATATTACCTCTTTCAAGTCTTTTCGATTTTGCTCACGAGGTGAGCTCGAATCGTCACTAGAATCATCATCACTCAAACAGCGTCTTTTTTCTTCAATATGGGCTGAATTCTGAAAAAAAAGAATGCAATCACAATCAAAATGCTTAATTAGAAGAAATGGTTAGATTGGCAGGAATAAACTTATTCATATTATTGAACAAATTGAAAAGACGTGCGCAAGCGCAAAACCCATCATATATTAGAAAAAAATATGATACCGAGAATGAATGGTTTGAAATATTTTGCTTCGATAAATGATGGCCAACACAATTCAATTGAAAAAAATGCGATTTTCTTTAGATATTATTGGTTTTCATTCTTTAAACAGAAAAAACGTATTTATAACGTCAATATTAATATTATCTTTATATTCACTACTGCACTTTCAACATATGAAAATGCCCTCCGCAACTTAAGAAAACTTTAATTTAATTCCTTGAATATAATGCGGTTGTATACGAAAAAAGTCATTATCGCTTGAATGAAATTAAATTTTCGGAAAAAGTACCTTTGTAGAAGATTTGTTTGTTATTTTTAAGTTTCCATCGTCGCTCTCGTAATTCACTATCGACTCCATTTTCCCCTTTACTCTGTGTATTTTGCGACTGAGTTTAGTTGTGTCTTCAACATCAGAAAAAATATGTTTCTTTTTCTGAATGAAGTTGGCATATTCAATCGACAAAGAGAGATCTGTCAAATATGGGATTACCTCATGAGAGTTTCTATGCAAGTTTTTAAATCATAGAACCGTTATAAAAATGAATTTTCTTTCAAACCACTTTGCATAGAATAGTATCATTTGTTGAAATGAAAATTTCGATATATTCACATATTATGTCGTAAATTTAATTTGATATGTATAGTTATTTCGATTTCAACCATCGTAGCTGATGTTTGCATCTGGCAATTTTACATAGAAAACAGTTTACGAAGAAATGTCATCGATTGTGACACAAATGGAAATAAAATGCTGCATAGTTCTCTCGGTTCTCTCGTGAATGGTTTATTATTATTTTTTTTAATTTTCCCATCATCAATCGTTTTACATTCGACAGATTCTACCGGAGACGAAACACTAGTAGAAGGTAATTGATTTGATACATGTGAGATTTTTCACATAATTTTGCCGGTCAAAATCACATTCTTTGGTTTTTTATTTCGTAGAATTGTTTCTATGTAGATATTGTGGCAGCGACGTGACTATTTCAAATTTCTTTCTAAATAAAATCAGCCCGCACGCGTTGTCTGTCTCAAATCAATCGTTTCACAATCACCAAAAAGTTCTCGTACAAACATTAGAAAATTCTCTTGGCGTACAATTTAAATTAGCTATCGTTCGAAAAGCCCATTGTGCTGCAATTAATATACGGGTAAGAGTTTGTTGAATCAATAGAATCAATCTGAATTCAATCAATGTAGTCTTACTTTCCAGTGGAGCGATCATTTTAGTTGGTTTCCGGGTTATAAATGGCGAATTTGTTTATGTTCAAATAAATTCAATGCAAGCACCATCTGATCAAGGATTTTACGCCCTAATCGTCGGAGATATTCTATCAGAATCACGTATGTAACATAAAATGTTTGGTTGATAAATAGTCATTTTTGTTGGTAATTAATAAAATATACATGGTTTTTACGTTTTCAGATGTTAATTCATTGTTAATAACTGAGAAGCATCATAACGAGTTTTGAAGGAATCCTAATTGCTGTGACTTACAAGTCATATATATAAAAAAAACATTGTTCTATGAGCGAAAAGTAAATATGGTTGATCCCAACCGGAAGATTAATCGTTTGTCGGATGATGATGCGGCATTTTTGGTGGAATGTGAACAAGAGTTTCGAAATCGATATACCGAAGCTGATAAGGAGTTTGCAGCATTCACTGCAAAATCAACTAGACCACCGCCAGTAGTTGAACCATGGCAACGTCATCATGGTGACTCGACCAGTGGAAACTGGAACCGAAACAACTATCGGCCCAACCACCAAGGAAATCATCATTATAATCGAAATAATGATAATCGTTCGCAAAGAAATTATAGGCCCTACAATCGATACGATCGATATTATCGTCGCGACGGTGGCAGTGAAGGTTCATCTCATTCTTAATGTCGAAAAAATGGCCATATTTGCTATTGTGATTATGAATAATTTTTAATTAAAGTTCATACGATATTTCCTCCTAGTGGAGAAGACGTTATAATAATTGAACATTGAATAAAAGATAGCTGTAAAAATAATAAATATTCTATTTCATTCAATCAACCATATTATTTGAATCATTCCCCAAAACTAGTCATATATCCCATAAATCAAAACTGACACCAAGATAAAATGAATGTTGAGTTGACGCCTCACAATGTATTGAGATGGTCCAAAGAGCGAATCCATCAGTAATTTGGTTACCATAGGTGTCAGAATAAATGTATTAATGTACAAAAAAATTAAATCAAAATTGACAGGTACACTATAATTCCGTTAACAACGGACACTTAATTATGGTTCAACATTATTCCTCATTTCGTTCAGTGCTGACGCACCAAACACAAATCATTTTATTTCATTTATTAATGGCTAAGAACTGAATTTTGGAATGAATTCGAATGTTAGTCATTGCATACGTATGGTTCTGAACGCAAACAGAAAAGAAAAAAAATCAGGCGCACGCGCTGTTCCTAATCCAAATAGACCAAAATTAAACTCGAGTGCACACCTTAAATTCAATCTCTATGTTGTGTGTAGTGAAATTTTTTTTCACTCAATCATTATTTTGATGGAAACACACACATGTGTTTAATTTTTCTCCTCTATAAATGAAATGCAACAATAAATACCAACAAAGTTCTTTAAATCAAATGTGGTTTGGCATGAAACTGATTCAGAAAAAGCCTCATTTCTTCAATAAAAGAGTAAAAATCAGAGAGACCAATTTAAGCAATATGTGCAACAAATTTCACTCAAATAAGTCAAAATGATTTGTAAACAAACAATATCCCATCGTACAACTGGACCGTTAGCAAGACACAAACTATACACATGCTTAACGCTATGAGCATTCCGTGCGCACACTCACACTACTATACTTATTTTAAGTGATGCGTTTTATCGTTTTTCCTCTATGCTGTATATACATTTAACGTATGTGTCTCTTTCCTTTTTCGACTTTTCCTTTCTCTTGCTCTCGTTTCAATATGAATCCGTTCAGCATCCTATAAGACTCTATCTGATGTGAAATGCAAAAGAGCGAGAGCGAACAATAATCAAAAATAGAATGAAAAACTAATACCGTTTGTTTTATGTATGTTTGAGAGTCAAACAGGATGAGTGTATCTGTGTTCGCAATAAGAATAAGAATATAGAAAAAGTGAACAGATAAACGAGAAAATTTTTTATCATACATCTTGATGAAAACATTGGAATTTGTAAAGGAACATCTAATACTTATTGGAAACATTTGTTTATTCGTGCGAGTCAGTATTCTCGCAAATATTTTTCTAAAATTTGAAATAATCATCTGAAATGCCGAAGTGGAAACACGTTCTCTTTTACGTTTGTTCTTAAGTGATCAGAGCCGTGTAATGAATTTTGCATTGACATCTAGCTGGATAAATAGCATTCATTGTTGAAGTGAAAGTGGAAACATTGGTTTATATCGATCGATTGGATTGATACGTAGCGAGTTTAATGTGTTTTGAAATCAATTTAAACGTATAATATCATCAAAGTGGTGAATTTTATGATACCTTGAAATCAAGCAGTTGCAAAATACATAGCTCTTGCAGATATTACCAGCTAATAAAAAGTACTATGAATGTGGATGCTAGTGAGAGCCTGTTGAATTCACACATTTGTTTCAATGCTCTTGCGACACTTCAAAACATTAAAAATGTGGAAAATTGTTAGTATCATTAATTTCGTATTTAGTTTGAAGGCAATCAATATCATTCGATTAAAAGAATAATTGTATGTTTTTTTCACGTATCCGATCTTTACAAAATTTGAGGTTAGGTTTTGTTATTGTCAATGAGTTTTCCTGATATCGATGCCTTACAAATATTTTTCTGAACCACATCTAATAAGAATGCATATTTTTCGTTTGGGTCTTAAACTACATTATTTCTCTATGGATATGGAACATATTCAATGTAATTAATCCAAATTTATTCGTGATTTAGCATGTAATTTCTGCTCATCATCCGATCATGCAACTTATATGTGCCCAGTGTTATCTAAGGGGGAACACGTAAGTTGCTTTTAATTCAAATTTGTTTCGTAGACTTATCTAAATTTGGAAAATCTAATCGGCGTTTTATGCAAAAATAAGGTCAAAGATACTTCCACGGATAATTTGTCATGGTCATCAGTACCGCACGGTTTGCAAATTTACCAAGATGAAACTGGATCACACATCATATCGGTGCAAAAATTTGCCAAAGGTTGCCGTTTCGGGCCATTATTGGCACCAAAATCGTACATACCGCTGGAGAACACAAAATTCCCACTAAAAATATTCGGTACAGTAAGCCTGGACGTGGAAGCAATGCATATGCCGGAATTAAGAGATTTGTTCAAAGTACGACATATTCATCTGGATACTAGAAATGAAAAATACTGCAATTGGATGATTCATGTAGATCCCGCACTGTACGCAAACGAGCAAAATCTTATCGCGTATGAAGAAGATAACGAAATTTTCTTCGCAGCCATCGAAGACTTGGATGTTGGTGACATACTCAAAGTTTGGTATTCGCCAAAGTACGGTGAACGTATGAAAATGCCATCATTGCACGAAAGTCCATATCCTGTCACAAAAAATGTACTCAGTCGAGGCGGAATTGCCTTGCCTGAGATTCATTTATTCAATAACTATTCAGCCTATGACAATGAACCAAACCGAACCGGTACGTACTTGAAAAACATTATTTGAAAAACTTGTTGCAAAAATTCAACAATTATTTTGCGATTGCTAATACTAATAAGAATCCAATATTGTAGAAATTATGTTGCCTTCCATTAAAACGATAATCAAGCCATCGTCGTACGTGAGCTATGAGAATCATCCATACAACGCAACCAACACTTATTGTCCCGGATCGAGTCCGAATAATTTGTTCAATTCATTGATGGATCATACTAACAATTTGAATGAAGACTCACATTTCTCCAACTCACTTCTGAATTTAGATGATACATTTTCTACGGAAACAGAATTTAATGAATATATGGGCTATGAGGATGATACCGAAAAACTCGAGAAAATCTTGAATACATCCAATGATAGTATTGGTTCTGACATGCATCTTTATTCGAATTCAGCTTCCCAGAATGGTATCGACAAAGATGAAAAGAAAGTGTATCCATGTCGATTGTGCGACAAGAAATACTCTACCATGACCAACATATATCGCCATGTTCGCGCTCAGCATAGTTGCTTTTTATGCAGTTTATGTATGAAAATGTTCGAACACGAGACTGAACTGAAGGAACACATTCACAAATGCCCAAAGTCAGATGTGAAAAAGCCACAATGTGTTGTATGCATGCAATATTTTTCGAACTCTTGGTCATTAACGCGGCACATTAAGATACATGTATCAGCCGGCGAATGGTAAATAATATACATACATGCGAATCGTTTTTACAAAAAATTGATCTCATCTATTATTCCAACAGCAACGCAGACATCTTAAGTGAGAAGAAGGTAAAAGATATCAAAAAAGGCAAAGATGATTCCAAAGAGAATTTTGACTTTTCGGATGCTGAGAAAAATTCACAGGATGGTTTTCTGTTGGGAGCTATAGCATCTATGCCAGACACATCGTTTGAATCTGACTTGAATAATATATGCGTTGGAAATAACATGCCCATAGCAAAAGAGGTTGCTAACCTACAAACAGTTTCACTGGATAAACTTGAAATCAGCTCTTCTGACGGTGCATCGAATGTTGAAAAAGACAATGAAATTTCTTCGTGTGTAGTTTGTGACAAAAAATTCAAGTCAAAATCATGCATGAACAAGCATTTGCGAAGTGTTCACGCAGGTTCGTTCTTGTAATATAACACTAAAATTTTGATACGAATAATTTACAAATGGGAAATCACTTTATTTCTACAGTGAGAATTTTGACTGGAATCAAACGTTCCACTTCAAATCATGGCCATTCAAAAAGTTCATCCAACAAGAGGTCATATTTGAGCGAAAGTCATTCATCGATAACACACACGGGCTCTCCAGTAAACCCGATGACGGCAAAGGCTTTAGCATCCAAGTTGAACGAACGAAATAATATGCTGAACGGAGCGAAAAAGGCATCTGGCCATGGTAATGTCCAAAGCAATGGCACAACCAGCGATATTCCCATACCACCCCTAATAAGCATTCAGACCATTCAGACATCATCCATGTCGGGTAGATTCAAAGACGGTGATGATCCACAGCAACGTAACTCTGGTTCACAACGAGGCAAATTTTCGCAAGCGAAAAAAATCAATACGACAGATACTCATTCTAAATCGGTTAATGACAGAAAGCAACAGAAAATTGAAACATCCAATAAGCAGTCCAATGGATCTAATTTACTGGATCATTCGAAATTGGTAAGCTTTGGAATGTCCAATGATTTGACGTAGTTGTTTCGAGTTAACTTTCTATTTGGTTTCAGGTTCCTAATAATCAGATTAAGATGCACAAATGTGACAACTGTTCAAAAAAGTTCAACAAGGTATGTTGACTTGTGCAGTTCCAAATATTATCACTTATTATAGTATTTTCCAATACTGACGTGTATGTGCATTTGTACATGTACCAAATATACCGAATCAACTCAATAAAATCTAATATTTATTAATTTGTATTTCTTCAGAAGTATGAACTGAAACGCCACAGAACAGTCCATGAAAATATTACGTACAAATGTCCATATTGCGGAAAGGAGGTGAAGCGTAAACCAAGCATGATAAAACATTTAAGAGTAGTGCACAAAGAAGAAGAACATATTTGGAGTGATGGAAATTTCATTGCACAGCTTAAAAAGTACACAAAGGCGTCGGCAGAAGGTTTTGCGCAATCTGAAAGTAGTAATACAAATGAGTCTAGTACCGACGAAAGGAATAATATTCAGCCAAAAAAGACTTCATCAGACATCGCATCGCTGGATAATGGTAAAAGTTTTGTGATCGTATACATTTAAATTTATTTATATGTTAAGTTTTTCTTTTTAATTTTCTAAGTTTTGCTTTATTTCCAACATGTGTTGACTGTAACTTCTTATGGAATTAAATTTTTATTTATAAAACAGGTGAGAATGGTGAAATTTATAAGAATGTTTTTTTGAGCGGTGACGCAAAGACATCATCGATATCTCGAACTATGTTGAGCACTTCACATCCAATCCAAGCAATATCAAATACGAGTGAAGATGAAATGAGCTTGCTTGAGGCAGGATCTACGGTTGATTTAGTTGGTGATAACCGAAAGCAGTCAGTCGTTAATATGACGACACAAGCCAGTTTGAATAACATTATTGATGACTGTTTTTTTGGTGATGATGCACTCAACTGTAATGTTGTACTTGTCCACAGCCCATTCAGTAGCGATAACGACGTCGATGGTTTCACTATGAACAACGAAAATGGAAACTGTGTCATGAACAAAGAACTTTTGAATAAATTCCATGATCGTCTTGAGGAAATGGAAGAAAAGGTTGACAGCACTGACTTCAAAACCATTTGGGATCATGTGCTAGATGAGGCTTCAGATTTGAACGATGACATGTGTACTGACGACATCGATGAAAGTGTTGTAGTTTAGCACAACAATGCAAAAAAATAAAAGCATGAACTACGTCAGTAAAATATAAAGCAAAGACTCTTTGCTAAAGAGAACTGAAGACTAAATTTGGAACATTTTCTATAATAGTACCGAAGAAAACATGTGCAATGCTTCTCAATGCCTCTGAAAAATTCAAACGATTCGGTCATTTAGATTTATTCTTGGATTACTTTAAATGCATTTTCTATTAAAAAAAAGTGTATCTCTTTCCAAAGAATTTATCAAACTACAAACAGAACTTTATTATAATAAACATTTCTCAAACAATTTTCCATCCAAACTGTTCGAAAATTACGATTAAAACATAAAAATATACTGAATTGTAAGTTTTAACGCAAAGAAAAACAAAATAACAAAACAAACATCATGCGATTATATTTGCAAAAAAACGATGTGGAATCACGTACGAAATCGCCAAAATTGTATCGTATAAGTTAAAGAACAAGCATTCAAAATATTTCTTAAAAATCTCTTTTCGATGTATGATGGATTTCCGAAACTTCAACCACATGATCACGCACATGAAATCGACGTGAAGAATGTATTTTCAAACTAAAATTATACAATTAAAAACCATAGATTTCTTCATAGAATTTCCAGTCAGAGTGTGTTTAGAATTAATTTAACTTTATATCTATTTATTTTATTTTATTTTATTCTATTATAGATTGTAAGCATTTTTGGGCATATTTCTCATTAGAGTGAAGAGAAGGTGCTGACTTAATGTGGACAACTTTATAACACTATTTCGAATAATCGAAGTTAGAATTGTGTGTCTATCAACTATTATGTTGAATTATTTTTTTTATCAACTGACATTTGACTTTGAATTACTCTCCTTGGTTTTAGCATTTTTGTCGGAAATTACGACAGGAATGTTGAAAAGAGAGATCATCGTTCGTCATTAGTGCAATAAAAGAATTAAAATAAAGCAATAATCAGGATGTTCCCCATCAAATTCCCGATTTTTCCAATAAATTACCGGACTTTTTCGGAGATTTGAGAGGAGGACCAGTTATGACTGTATAATGTATATGGCATGAAGCAATGCTATTTATTAGTTCATTTCAACACTCATAGAATTCCTTTTGGAAACAATTTCAATCGTTTCTGATTAAATTCTGATGTCATCTAAAATGAAAATATTTAAATATGCTGTAGCTCTTTTCATTCATGTCTTATGTGTCTTGTATCGTATTTTTTTGTTTTATTCTACTTTTTTATTCATTCAAATGGGTGCAATATTTCAACTGGTATTTATATTCGCTTTTCTATTTATTTTGATCAAACAGGTCACTACTAATAACGTACCTCTAGTCCTCTTTTTATTCTATTTAATTCGATTATTTTTACATTTAAAACTGTTTGTAATGACCATCCAGCTGGATGTGTCTGTAAGATATACTAAATACTCATTTTTTTTGTTTGAAATAAATGTAATTTTTTTCGTTTTGACAGAAGCTAAAATAGTTGTTTTACAAATGTTTATTTCGAAAAATTGTCACTTAAACCGATGATTTGTGTCTGGAACGATCCTGAATGTTTTCGCTTATTCACGTTCATGATTTTTGTAGCTTTTTCCAAATGAATGTTCGCATTGCTGATTAGAAGCACCATTGAGCGTTTCATTTGAGAGTTGTGAATATGTTACCAATAAAGTCTTCGTATTTTCTTTAGGTGGACTGTAGGTTTGAGCAATGGTTTGAGTTTGCAGACGACCATTGAAATGCTGCTCCAAGTCATTAACTTCATTGGTCTGGGCAGCTCCAATTGTAGTATCAGCATTTGAATTAATATTATGTGCTTTGTCTTCTATAATTATATGATTATATGTAGATGATGAATTTATATCACTCTTTATATCCTTTCGATTTGAATGTTTCTTTTCTAGATCGTTTCTTCCACAGAAGGGTGGATTTAGTTGATCATTTCGTGAAATTTCATAGCACAAATTTTGTTTAAAATGCGTGTCCTGCTGTTCAATTTGCGTATTTTCTAATTGATTTGATGAAAATCGTTCATCTTGATCCCCATGTAGATAGTTCTGTGCTACATAGTTTCCGTTTGTTTCATTGCCAATCAAAGTTTTGATTCTCTTGTTATGCTTTTGCTCACTGGTTGAACCAATTTGGGCATTTTCCAAGAATTGGTTATGTTCATGATGTTCATCACTTATTTGATTCACTTGACATTCATCGGTGTCTAATAGGTCTTTGTAGTTCATTTTTCTTGAATACACGTGAGAATCCATCAAATTCAATGTCGAATTATAGTCCTTATTATGTACGATCGTTGATTTGGCAATATCTAAACAATATAAAATGTATTTCAAACAGATCAATTTTTTTAAAATGTTGTTTCAGAAACAAAAAAATGGATATTTACAATATTTTCTTCCTTTTTTAATTCATCATATTATCAGGATGATGTGAGATATATCAATCAAAATTAGCCATTATTCATTTTTTAATGAAAATGGGAATTTCATGAATATAGGTTTAATTTTATGATGATAGAACATCATCTCTTTCAACAATCCTTTCTAGGTAATACTGGTAAATTTCCTATGAGCCGACCAGTCGTTTAAAGCTGTCAACGGACACGGACAAAAACGACTTTTTCACTATTTTCCTTTCGGACACGCTTTTTTGTCCGGACATTCGGACATTTCGGGTGCCCGGACACGTTTTTGGATGGATGGACACTTTTTGTACGAAATTTGTCCGAAAATTTCAATGAAACTAATTCTGTCAATCGGACACGGACGGACGGACAAAGTTTTTCTAACGAAAATTTCAATCGAAATGAGTTGTACTGTGAACTGCATGTGCGATTCTTAAGCCCTGCAATAATATGCATATGATAATGTGCAAATTAATATTGGTTCCAAAGTCACTACTACTGTCACGTTGTATGGCTACCAACTTATGCCGTACATATCGACAAGATCGAGAGCGTTTTGAGAAAATTTACTCAGTTCGTCCGAAGAGAATACCGTACAGCGGCCAATAGCTACGGTATCACCAACTACAACAAACGACTTGAGGCGTTGAACATGACATTGTTGAAGCGTAGGAGAGTGAATGTATCAATTGTATTCACGTACGACATCGTGAATGGGAACGCAAATTGAACTGCTGAGAATAAAAGGCTGACGATTGCAGGTTTTTCGCAAAAGCGGGATAAAAATCAGTTGCGCGCAAAAGAGACATTTCAAAAGGTTGCACGCAAGAGAGAAGTATATTGTTGTTGTAATCACGGCTTGAAAATTCGAAATGCGACAGAATAAAATGTTCCGTTTGCGTGCAACCTTTTGAAATGTCTCTTTTGCGTGCGACTGATTTTTATCCCGCTTTTGCGAAAAACCTGCAATCGTCAGCCTTTTATTCTCAGCAGTTCAATTGTCCCAATGTACGCAACGACATCGCAATTGGGGGGAGCGTACGTATCCTACGGCACACAGACTACCTCAAGATCATAGACAAGCAAATCAGAGCTCAAGTGCCACAACAAAAAGTGGCTGATCATGGCTGATCAATTCAAAAATTCCACCAGTTGCGAAAAACTTCATTTCGTCGGTACGCAGCGAACAAAGCCAAAAATTCAATATAAAATATTGACAACTTATTATCAGAGGTTGGTTGCACATAAATTTGTGTCAATGTATTTGCGAAAATAAGTTGATTCTATGTCTTTCGGTCTCTACTAAATTGTAAATTCTTAACTACCAACAGAGACTTGTGAGATTAGACGTAAAACTTTTCTTCAATATATCAACTTTTGATAAATTGAATGATGACTTTTGCAGTCATTGAGGCCGTCACTACAATGTTAACGCTTCTACTGGCCTTTCATTTTACACGTTTCAGTTAGGCTTTTTTGGGCCGTTTACAATTCGGCTACCTATTCATTTCGATGTATTAGTTTATTTTGTGTCAAAACTTTTATAGAATACATTTTTATGCCAATCAAGAAATACTACTATATCTACAAATTATATATGTACTAATATTGTACAAAATTAAATTCAGCCAGTATTGGCGGTGTTAAATAGAATAAAAATAGAATAAAATAAAAAGTTGTAACTGTAGGAGCCAAAAACCTATAGAACACTTTTTCATAACCTTTTATGAGGTTTTAAACAGAGGTTTCCTCAACTGAATCGCCACACTAAAAATGAACAAGAAATAAAAAATAATAATAATAACTGTAACTAAATTTGGGGTCCATATGTGGAGTATTTATATGGATCTCACAATGCGCATGCGACAATTTAACCATTGCGACAAACAAATTCCATCAGAATATTTTAGTATTAAAGTGCAACCTAAAGTTTTTTTCATATGGAGTTGTTGTTGTAAAATCAATATAAAAAAAATTTCATGTTGCACTTTGAAACTAAAATATTCTGAGGGAATTTGTTTGTCGCAATGTCTCAATTATAATGAGTACTTGCATAATTAGAACAAGGTCGCTTTCTTCGTATACAAATACATGGGAAAGATTTGACGTAAGACGCCAAGACGCCTCTACGCGTGGAATGCTCGAATCTGTCATCGTACACATATTTAACACGAACATTCTCGTTTATACAATCGCACTCACACAAATGAACGCATCGATAGTGCCCGCTCAATATATGTACGATGACTGTTTTGAGTGTCCCTCGCCTAGAGTGCTGCGTGTCGTTTTTCTTCGTTTATTAAGCGATCTTGATTAGAATAAAGTTTGATGCTGACACATAAACATCGCGTTAGGCTACCAACTTATGCCGTACATATCGACAAAATTGAGAGCGTCTTAAGAAAGTTCACCCAGTTCGCCCAAAGAGAATACCGTACAGCGGCCAACGGCTACAACATCACCGACTACAACAAGCGACTGGAAGCTTTGAGCATGACATCGCTGCACATCGGTACGAAAGCTTTTGTTGTTCATCAATGACATAGTGGATGAAGTGGACGACGTGTTTATTTCCTTGTTCGCCGATGATGTGAAAATTGCCAATACCGTCTGCTTTGGCTTTGTATGGCACATTGCGAAAATAACGTGCAATAAATATCATGAACACAAACATTAATTTGCTTGTCTACAAAAAAGAAATGGCTATTACGTCACATTTCTTATCATTCGGAGAAGAAAATGGAACAGCATTCGGTTGGCATTATAAATGTGACACATAAAAGGAGTACACACATATTGGATTCTTTCTTTATTTTAAATTATAACGTGCCAAAGTGTCACTCAATGAAGCAGCGGACTTGTCGGCACACTCGTGGATTTAGCATTTCACTTGCTTTGGCGATTCGTGAGTTGCCGAAGCATCATATATGCAGTGCACTCGATATTTAACGTGAAAACCTATATTCGGTACATCGAAGTTGGCCGAGGTATGATTTCGTTTGCGCGTAGCGCGTAAGCAATTCACTTGCGATATATAGTATATACGTTTTCACGTTAAATATCGAGTGCACTGCATTTATGATGCTTCGGCAACTCGCGAATCGCCAAAGCAAGTGAAATGCTAAATCCACGAGTGTGCCGCTGCTCCATTGAGCACTTAACTTAACTTTTTCATACGATGAATCTATGTTTTCTTTTTGCAAATGCTTCGCTAAAATTTATTTATTAACACCACCAATAAACTGGCTGAATATTTATTTTTGCAGGAAAATGGCTCCAAGATTCATGAAAAACCTGATCTTTTAATTTTATACAATATAGGATTTAGTTTGATTTTTACGTACATTGACTGAACTAACTAAATTCCATTATTAATAAATAACAGGTCAAATACAATCACCAAGAAATTTGGATTTTATTCATGGCGGTTCAATTAGGCAAACTTACTCGGATCACGATATTTGTATAATTGGTTGTAGACCTGTCGCATCCTCTCTATATTTGTTCTACTCGCCACCGGATGATTAACCAACGGTAAAGAGTAATCGCGTCCAATAATACACTTAGCAGCTTTTTGAATACTTTCCGGAGCATTCCATGGTTCGTGGATATACCTACTTGGAAAATTCTGTGTGGAACAAAAAAATTTTAATTGTGATTTTTTATTCATGTATAATGTTTTTTATTCTTCGCTGCGCATGTGATTCCTGTAGGAACGGTCAATACTTACTTTTAAAATTGGGAGATACTTGCGAATATAATCACCTACCATATACATATATCAAGGAATATAGGCATTTAAATAAGACACGAAACTATATAATTCGGTTATTTTTGATAATCACCATTTGGATCTGCTCTTCGACCAAACCGAACAGGACAATAACAATGGAAAAACTGTTGAAAAAATGACGACGAGGACAGCCACATCCACATTCCTGCATTTACGGCCCAATCTGCGTCTAACAGAAGCTCGTCGAAAACTTTCATCCCTTCTTCCCATGAAATCCAGAGATCTCCGCTTAATTAAAAGCATTAATTGAATGTGTAAAATTAAAAATCTCGAAAGCTATATATGATGTGTGTGGTTATGCAAGAATTGTAAATTTACCGTGTTAAAAAGCACGCCACAGCGTGTCTCGCCAAATGGTGTATCCAACCTTCTTCCCTCAATTGGACCATGATCGCATCAATCCAGGGGAAGCCTGTCTGACCCTATATACAATTTATTGAATATCATATATTACACAACCAATTTTTATAATCATTTGTATAATCACACACATTTGCCCATTTCGCCAATGCTTCTGGATTTACGTCCCACGGGATCTGTACACAAATTGGATTACCCTCCATTCGATCGAATTTACCGTTTTTAGTTGCCGCACAATAAAAAAATTCCCGCCACAATAATTGGCCATGTAGAGACAATGGAGGATGTGCTTTCTTTATTTTTTTATACAAATCTGGAAAAAGCATGACAGGTGGAATTTTTATTTAAATTAACCCTTTGCATTAATTTTGGTTAAATATAAAACGTCCTTTCAAATGTACAAATCGCCAATAAAAATAAAAAGAATTACATTCGTAATCCCGAACTTTTCCGTACCATTGTCCGTCCTTTTGGTTTGTTCTGTGAATTTTCTTGAAATAAAGGCAGTGGAAAATCGGCCAATTATAGTCGAAATTTCGACATTTTTGCATGGAAGGTACCCATAAATCGACTCCGATTGGCTCAAAACTTTCTGAGGTTTCATTTTCTGGCGAAAAAATAAGATTTTGAAAGTTTCATATTGATCGCATTTTCGAAAGTTTGGTTTTTGGTTCTCAATTTTCTCCAATGAAATTTCGACGAAAATTGAGGGCTACAAATCAAACTTGTTCAAATGCGATCAACATGAAACTTTCAGAATCTAATTTTTTTCCGAAAAATATTACCTCAGAAAATTTGAATCCAATCGGAATCGAATGCAAAATTGTCGAAAAATCGATAATTTTAGTCAGAATATCGAAAATTTTGTATGGGTGGTACCCGTAAATCAACTCCGATTGGTTTCAAACTTTCAGAATCTAATTTTTCTCCCAAAAAAAGAAATCCCAGAAAGTTTGAAGCTAACCGGAGTCGATTTACGGGTACCTCCTATACAAAATTGTCATTTTTTCGAGTTTTTTCTTAGGGCAAGTACCCCAGGATAAAATCAAAAATGGCTCATCTTCGAACTTAAACTAAGTTTTTTGGATACAAAACTTTTGGCATTTCCAGATTTTGATTATCTCAATTATTTTTTGAGTTATCGTGTTAACAAACACCAACGACGACAACGACGACGGCACACGAACGGAAAAGTGTATCAAAAAGTTCTTTTCTACACGTTTCATGAGTTTTTATGTTGATCTAAACCAATTTTGCGAAAAAAGTTTTCGGGACCAATTCCTATACTTTTCCTTGACACGGTGTGTACGTAAAAGTAATAACAAATATAGTTGTTATATATAACAACGAATAAAACAAACGACTCGAAGCTCTGAATATGACATCATTAGAGAGAAGGAGAGTAAATGCATCAATTATAAATATATTATATTTATTTACGATATCGTGAATGGATACGCAAATTGTCCTACTGTACGTAATGACATTGCAGTAGGTGAGAGCATCCGTACCAACAAAGTGCGCTGTAAATGGAAAATATTCAGCAATGCTCCAACGGCATCTATACGGTATAGTTTGGAAGTATTGTAGAGAATAACGTTACAATCTCTTCAATAAAGGGATTTGAGTTTCAGTGAAGGTGTTATCAATAACTGAATTTTACTTTTCCTTACACACCGTGTCAAGGGAAAGTATAGGAATTGGTCCCGAAAACTTTTTTCGCAAAATTAGCTTAGATCATCATAAAAACTCATAAAACGCGTAGAAAACCACTTTTTGAGACACTTTTCCGTTCGTGTGCTGTCGTTGTCGTTGTTGTCGTCGTTGTCGTCGTAGCTGTTTGTTAACACGATAACTCAAAAAATAATTGAGATAATCAAAATCTGGAAATGCCAAAAGTTTTGTATTCAAAAAACTTAGTTTAAGTTCGAAGATGAGCCATTTTCGATTTGATCCTGGGGTACTTGCCCTAAGAAAAACCTCAAAAAATTGACACTTTTGTATGGGAGATACCTGTAAATCGACTCCGATTGGCTCCAAACTTTCTGAGAATTCATTCTTTGGGAGAAAAATAGGATTCTGAAAGTTTGAAACCAATCGGAATCGATTTACGGGTACCTCCCATACAAATTTTTTGAAATTTTGACTAAAATTACCGATTTTTGGACAATTTTGTATGGGAGGTACCCGTTAATCGATTCTGATTGGCTTAAACTTTCTGGAGTTTCATTTTTTGGAGAAAAAATAAGATTCTGAAAGTTTCATATTGATCACATTTGCAGAAACTTGATTTTTTGTCCTCAATTTCGGCCAACATTTTCTTGGAAAAAATTGAGGGCCAAAAACCAAACTTCTGCAAACGCGATCAAGATGAAACTTTCAGAATTTTATTTTTTCTCCAAAAAATGAAACCTCAGAAAGTTTGAAGCCAATAGGAATTGGTTTACGGGTACCTCTCAATTTTCATTATTATATTTTCACTGCCTTTATTTCAAGAAAATCCACAAAAAATAACCAAAAGTACCTACGGACAACGCAGGCCAACGGTACGGAAAAGTTCGGGATTACCAATGTAATTCTTTTTATTAATGGTTCAAATTTGTCTTTTTATATGTATAAAATAGTTTACTTATTTCTGGTTTCTTTGAATTGATGTTATTGTTAATTTAGTTTACATAGTTTGAATTAGTTTTAATTTGCTGATTTGTATATTGCTTTTCATTAGAATTATGTTACTAATATGTTACTCACATATTATGTGAATGGTTTGGAGCGAAAATGTAATACAGAAAAGTTGAGCGGAAAAATGTCGATGATGAATGAGCGGAAAAGGGATAGCTATATAGTAAACTGCAGAGCCTGTCCGTGCGCTCTTTGCGCCCTGGTGCAAAATTGCCAGGGCGCCCTTTTCTTAGGATGAAATGAAATAGACTCAAAATTGTTTCAAAACGAGTAACTTTCTTGTTAGAAAAGTTCTGTACGCTATTGTGTGTATCGTTCATATTATGAACTTCATATATGAAAGGCACGAAAAAAAAATCCAACGAAATTAACCTTATGTAATACTGAAAATTTGCATTTTAGATTTATTGAAAACATTATACATTACTGCGAGCAAACTACAAAAATTTTTTGTCATTTCAAAAATATAGCGCTTGAATACACATGTTTACTGAGAATTACATGGAAAAGGGTGCTCAAAATAACTGAATACATTTTGTAGTCGGTTGAATAAATACTGAAATCTTATTGTTTAATATTTTTAAACTGGTAAAAAGCGCTTTAAATACAAGTGGCACTTCAATATATATATAAGCTGATCAAATGCTTTTGGTGCATTCGGCGCTCTCGACGCCTGAATTTTTCAACGTATTTTTGGAAAATTTAAGCAACTGAACGCCAGTTTGCACAAGTTTCCGCTCTCGCGCGTTTTCGGCGCCCCAGCGCGGTGGTGCAACGCACCACTTGCGCCCTATCTGGGACAGGCCCTGGTAAACTGTATAGTAAACTATATAGCTATTCCTTTTCATTTGACATTTTTCCGCTCAACTTTTCTGTATTACATTTTCGCTCCAAACCATTCATGTGACATTCTCCGGGCGGACTTTTTTGTCACATAATATGTGAGTCACATATTAATAACATAATTCTAATGAAAAGCAATATACAAATCAGCAAATTAAAACTAATTCAAACTATGTAAACTAAATTAACAATAACATCAATTCAAAGAAACCAGAAATAAGTAAACTATTTTATACATATAAAAAGACAAATTTGAACCATTAAAATTCAGTTATTGATAACACCTTCACTGAAACTCAAATCCCTTTATTGAAGAGATTGTAACGCAATTCTCTACAAGTATAAGTAAATGCTTTCGTCATAAGGTTGACCCAAATGTTGGAAATGGCATTTGTCAGATAAACGTCATTCATTATTCAAGTCAGTGATCTTCCGATAAGGACAAAAGCAATGCAAACTGAACTCTGAACGGTTTTGGATTTGCTGAATTTATTACCATTGCCAAAATTTCATAATTTTGACGAAAACCAAAATAAAAATCTTTTTTAATCGTGAAAATAAACCTATTTGAAAAGATGAACACTGGTAAATTGAACAAGTCATGACTTTTGTAGTCATTGATGCCGCTAATTAAATGTTAAACGCTTCAAATGGCCTTTCTTTTTTTACACGTTTGCGTAAGGATATTTTGGACCGTTGATATTCGGCTATTTCCGTGTTTCGGTTAGTTTTTATGCATTAAATTATTTACTTGTCAAATTCTCATAATAGACGAGAGCAACTAACTAAAAAATATCCATTTTTATACCCCATTGTGAACACTCGAAACAGTCAGGTTTAATAAAAATGATAATTCTTGAAGCAACCACTTTCTTCTCAAGCATGCAAAAATGATTCTCGTATAAAACACAGAAAATGAAAACGCCAAAACACAGAAAACAAGGTCGCGTCGCTCCGCTCCTCTCTTATTTTGTCTCATATATATTATTTTCAGTTTGTTGTTGTACAACAAACTAAGGTGTAAAAGGCACTACATGAAATGTAGAGCTTCAATCAACTTTTACTTTTTAAAGGCGAATGCGGATTTTGGGATAAAATTTAAAGGGCCAGCATATCCGCTAGGTATCATTTCAGTCGGTTGATGTTGAACGAAAAATCAAGTTCGAAGTGCTACCAGCGCCATAAACGAAACCGTTATGAATCTGATTTTTTTTTCGATACAAAATAATCTAAAATATCTTCTATTAAAAAAAGTTAGAATCAAATTGCAAATTCTATTTCTCAACGCACAATATTTTATTTGCATGAATGATTTCCATTTGAAGTTCGAAACTTCGCAATCAACAGCGCCATCTTACGTCAGTCAACGGATATACATATACACTCCAGTCACCATATTGACAAGTGACAACTGTGTTGTCGTTTCACATTTCACATATTGACTATTCATATGAGAAAATGGTGTTACTCAACAAAATCCGTCGCACAGAAAGCAGTTGTGCAGCCGTGCTGTTTGCACTTCGGCGTTGTTCGCTTATACATCGCCCGTTCATCGTGTTTCGTACGAACGAAATCAGTACACAGACATGTGTGTGTATGTATGCGCCGAACGCTCAAAGCTGAGTTCCATACGACGCACGGAAGATGCAGAGAATGAAAACATAGGCAAAGTTTGTATGGCTACAGTGATGGAATGAGCTGCTATGGAGCGTTCGGCGCATAAGAAACACGATGAACGAGCGATGTATAAGCGAACATCCGAAGTGCAAATAGAACGGCTGCACTACT